ATACCGGCACCTTGCGTAATACAAGCAATAGAAATTGATTGTCTTTAGATATAGAATGTTAGCTTAGCTACAAAGTTCTGATTCTGATACCGGCACCTTGCGTAATACAAGCTTTAGAAATTGATTGTCTTTAGGTCTAGACTTTCAGCTTGGTTACCAAGTTCTGCTACCGGGAAACTGCCAACAATAAATAAGCGGTTATCTAAAACAGAAATGAAACATTAATTTTTACCAAAACTGAGATTAAAACCGGGACAAGTTGTCTAACGTGTGACGACGATCCCATTCATACCCAGGGCCGTCATTTCAGGTTTTTTGCAGGGGGTGGGAGGGAAGGGGCAAAACCAAAACTTGGTTGTCTATTACTGGAGGCGCCACAGTACATAGCATTTTAAATAAAACCTGTAAATAATGGGGGGGGGGGCAGTAAATGCCCTACCCATATGACGTCCATGCTCATACCGGGACGTAGTGTAAGCAGCATTGGTCCTTGAAAAATTATAAAAATTGTGGCTTTTGTATTTATGTTGGGGTGGGGATGTGGGTGTGAATTTCTAATCTCTAAAATAAAATTCCTAATTTTCAGGTTTGTTATTAATATATTTTTTAATATAATTAAGGGATTAAACACTAGATCATCTCAAAAAGAATCCTTCGCATTATATGTGTAATTATGAAGTAATCAAATTAAATTTATTTGTCGAAGGTAAAATAAGAATTTAAAAAAAAAAATAAGAAATAGGCCCCTACAGTGAGATGAAATAATTTAATGATACTAATTATATGAATACATCGCTACTGAAACCTGCTGATCTCTATCAAAAGTGTAAGATCCGTGTTTAAGAAATGTAATCTGAAACATATAAAGTAATTTAAGACATATTTATTTAATTCTCTTTAAAAATGATCTGTTTGAAAGATATGATCTTTTGGGAAAGATATGATCTGAACAATGATTTATTGGTAAAGATGTGATCTGAACAATGATTTCATGGTAAAGATATGATCTGAGTAATCATTTAATGTGAAAGATGATCTGAATATTGATTTGATAGGACAGGAAAGATATAGTCTGAACAATGATTTAATGGGAAATATATGATTTGAACAATGATATAATGGAAATGATCTGAACAATGATTTAATGGGAATGATATAATTTGAACAATGATTTAATGGTAAGGTATGATCTGAACAATGATTCCATGCAAAATTTGTTGAAATTATTTTAATATATGAATAATCTAATGTAAATATTGTTTTTTTTTTAAATTTAATTAATTAGTTTCTCTGTCTACTATTATTTGAGCATTAATAAATACTAAAGAAATCATGGTTCGTTTTAAATTTTAATTTAGTCATCTAAATCGTGGTAAAGTTGTGCTGTCCTTTTTTTTCATTTCATTATTTTCCTGAAAATTGCATTATTTTATATTATGATATTACTAATATGCATTATAAATTGCAGTCATATCTACCTCCCACAGATTTCTACAGAGTGGTCAACCTACCCAACAACTGGCACCTGGATCGATGCCAAGCCCAATATTTTTAAAATTGTCCTAGTGACCAGTGGATGTCATTTCCCTTGGAGCCAGACATTAAATGGCCTTCACCTTCATGAAATTTCAACGACGAAACAATTCAAAATAAATTTACAGATAATCAAACTCAGGTTTTGTGGTACCGGTACCCTCTACAAGTTTGGGCCTCGCTGATCTGCGACATTAATATGCCGGAATTAGTAATCTAGCAGGGGATTGGTGGATTCGTTGTGATGCAATGAATGAACGCTGGTTGTGGATTCGTTGTGATGCAAGGAATGCTGACTGGTGGATACAGAGGATGATTACATCCACTTAAGCTCAATGAAGATTGAACAAAACATTTGCTGAATTGACTGTTTAAAAAAAAGGTTTGGTAGACCAATAGCTTTCTTATACTTATATAAAATATAACTCATGTGGGCCTGTATTATTGTCCAATCTTGGGATATGTTTAAAAATTGTTTCCCTTTGCCTTTACTTATTTTGGCTGTACATACGAAGTTTCATTTGTTGTTTTTGTTCATAATTGATCAATCAAACAGTGAAATTTAAAGTTAATTTTTTTTTTTTTAATGATGGACTTTAACTTTGTATGTTAAGATGAGAGGTCCCAAAATCTTGTTTGCACGTAAGTCTTAGCTCATATGTGGGGAGGGGGGCATGTCCCGTAATTCTGAAGCAAATTGGATCTAATCAGTGGCAGATCCAGGATGGTATGTAGGGGTGGGTGTGAGTGTGTGTGGTGGTGTGATTGGGAGGATCACCTTCTCACATGACATTGAGAGAAGTAGTTGTGCTCATGCACCTTTTCCTATTCTTTTTTTTTTTTTTTTTTTGTTACCGGTACCATTCATATGATAACTATTTAATTTTTAACATAATCATGTTAAGTGGCCATTGTAGTTGTGCTGGTGGGGGGTTGCCTATTCTTTTTTTTTTTTTTTTTTATGTTACCGGTACCATTCATATGATAACTATTTAAATTTTAACATAATCATGTTAAGTGGCCATCCATATATTATGTTCACACTGAGGAAGAGGTGGGCTATTTTTTTTAGAGTTTGCGTACAGGTGCGTATGGCCAGGGGGCACCTCGGGCATATGGTGTACATTCACTTTATGAACAAATTTTTCAATAATTATCGTAAAATTCTATCAGTCCATACATAGCCTATTTATATCTCTAATAGAGTATCTGGAAGTTTGTATGGAAGAAATTTATTCAAAGAAAAATTGCTGGACTTCATGAAACTGAGTTTTGTTTTGAAGGTAAGCTTGTTGGAAATTACATTTTTTTAAAGGCAATTTATTTAGGTTTTTAAGAGTCGGTGTGAGTGAGAAATGGGAGAAAAATGTAATTTTTTTTTTTTTAAATTGTGTTTTCCCCATCATATAATTTGAACAAAGTGCCATCAAAATTTCTTTCTTCAAACAAATTTATTTTGTTCAAATTTCTGGTAACCTCAATAAATGCATTTATCTCCTAAAATTCTGAGAAATCCTGGATTTGTAATTATTTTTGCAGCCTATAACTATATCACTGCAATGTTTCCTTATTATCACCATCCATACTGTTGCTTTGGTGTTTTTTTTACAAGTGAACTTACTAGATCTTACACTTGTATTACAAGTAACAGTAGCAACAGTTCACCTTTGCCCGCTACCGTGTATGAGACATAAATATTTTTATTTAGGTTTTCCACTCCTCTGGTGCCCTTTATCAAAATTTTAAAAGGTACCCTTCAGTTAGTGAATACTTTTATTTAATTATGGGGTTGGGTGAACATAAATGAATCATGTATATAGGTCCCGGAATGCCGCCTAATAGCCAGGGGAAGTAAATTACTGGTTTGCACCAGATCGTCAGATGTAATGCCCTGTCACATTGGATTTAAAGTGGAAACTAAACAATGTAATATTTTTCTGCGCACTGTGAGGAAGCCCATTTTGAGAACCACTGGTTGGTCTATGTCAAACATACAGAGGAGAAAACCTATGGCACATTTTTTAACACTGTAAACTGTGACATCATATTTGTCTACAAATATATTTTTTAAATGGGGGTGGGGGATGTTTTTAAAACACTTTTTTAATGTATGCAGGGGGGGGGTGAGGGTTATCCAAAAACATATGCCAGCAGGAGGTGGGGGGGGGGGGGGGGGGGTTGAAATTATACTTTTTCATTATGTATATGTATGGCCCCTAAAGAAAATAACTGTAAAAAAAATGTCATAAACTCACAGACTCTGCAATAACTACTGGTAGTCCAATGTTTTAAACACATTGTAAACACTAGATTGTTGAATAAAATAATATGGGAAGAACTTTTTAAAAAATATGTATTCACATAGATCTATCAGTCGTGGGCAAATGGACATTGATATCTGAGGTTCAAGACTTGTGAAGGAGATACTAGAACAAGATATGATTAGGCTCAAACTGAAAAGACGGGACAATTAAAAGAATGTTTCAGCTCAATGTTTTCTTCAGCAGGCATTCAAAACAATAAACAACATTGAAAGGAGGGGCCTTGGCTGGAGAAGACTTGGAGATTGGAGTATGGGGAAAAGGGGGGGGGGGGTTGATGAAAATGGTGGGGATTTCTCTCTTCTTCTGAGGATTTACCTAATAATTATTTATTAATAAATTTTTATTCATCTCACCCCCAACCGTGGAACAAATCTCAACATTGAAAGGAGGGGCCTTGGCTGGAGAAGACTTGGAGATTGGAGTATGGGGAAAAGGGGGGGGGGGTTGATGAAAATGGTGGGGATTTCTCTCTTCTTCTGAGGATTTACCTAATAATTATTTATTAATAAATTTTTATTCATCTCACCCCCAACCGTGGAACAAATCCTAAATCTACCCATCCAACTGGTAACGGTAGTGTCAAAAGAACATTTTCAATGGTCCAACAATAAAATTGTAACTGCAAGTGTCTACATGGAAAAACTAAACATAGCCAGCTGGGTTATATCACATGGAGTGCCTAGTCTGAATTACACTTGATTGTCGATACCTGTCATATTTCCCACAGAGTATCCATATATTTTTCACCTACTTGAATGTCAGACAGGTGTACCATTACTCTGAGTGTCAGACAGAAGTGCCATTACATTGCATGTATGATGTGTTAAAATTCCTCTCGTGTGCCGGTATGTTTCATGAGTGCATGTAGCCAACTTGGCATCAAGGTAAGGTCACACATTTCTGTTACTTTTCTATGCAAGTCATCTGGGTCACACAGTGGAGCTGCCTTTGTTCAATTTATCAATATCAAACTGATATCATAACCTTGGCAAATTGGATGTTAAATAACATGGCCTCTTTTTTCATTGATACATTAATTGAATTGTACTCATTTATTTGTATGCACAATTTTACCTTACTTTACTTTTTTTGTTAAATTTTCATAATTTCCCCAATAATAATAATAAAACCATAAGTCAACAATTTCATGGACTTCCTTTATTTATAAAAATCAAATTATAGAGAACTTCACAACATTAGCTCAACTATGACAATATTTACAGCTGATACAATCAATACTTTTGTCGAATATGAATTCAATATAGAATGAAGACATAGCTGTATTACACACACACAAAAATCATGAATACCTTTCCCATGGTTTTATCTCAAACCCAAATACAACCTGAACATTTCAATACATAACTTTAACTTCTTCTTCCATTCTATTTCCTTAACTATGAAATATTCAACCTTAAAATTTTTTTATGCAGCAGGGTAAACCATCTCTTCACCCAACAGTAATAGTCCATTTAAATACAAACAATAACTAAACAACATTGACACATTAACATTAATGTACACAAGTAACTGCTATACTATACATTTTTTTGGTTAAAGAAAGTAAAGTTTACATTCAGCTGAATTTTAAAGTATTAACCTAACCAGGTAATTATTTTTTTACAAACATAAAAGGGAAATAAAAAAAAAAAAGTTGTAAGTCCATGGTCAAAACCAGACAATTACAAAAATATTTAATATTTGTAAACACAATGTTTAAAAATACCAAGCAAACACTTTTAAAAAAGGGCACCAACCATAGTGTTAAAAAAAAGGGAGAGAAAATTTTTAAAAAAAAATAATGCAACTGAATGGTCCAGTCTGTCCTCTAATAGTGATAGCGATAGGAGCTTTGATCATAACCAGCATTGGATTGACTTAAGTTTCTGAGGAAAAAAACAACATTTATTTAGAGTAACATTACATTTATTATTAGGACAATTTTTAATAACAATAAAATAATTATATTCAAGTTCTAAACCAAGATTTCAGTTGTTTTTCCACTTAACTCCAATTGTCATTTTTTGATACACTTTAGTGGGTAATAATAATAGGTAATGAAAGGAAAAATACCACAATGATCTTTTCACCAATCCTTATGCCTTTTGCAACAGAGACATAAAAAGAAGTTAAAATAAACATCAAGTTATGCTCTTTACTCTTTATCTCTTTACATCCTTTATAACTACATTACTGTAAGTTTTCACATTTCCAAGTTTAAATTTACACAAAACTTATTTCAGTGCTTCAAAATACCCACTTAGATAATATATAGAACTTCATGTATAATTTAACACAGTAATGGTTCCAATGAAGAACAGAATGTCTTAATTAATTTTTGTGTCAACAAAAATCTTGTATCTTTTTAAACAAGGTCCCTTCTATTTAACCCCTTACTTCCATTACCAAAGCTTTACCTCGAAGTGTAGCTGTTGCCATATGCAGGAGTTGTGTCTTCCGTCTGTCTGTCTACTCCATAATCCAGGCTCGGTTGTGATTGTTGCATGCCGTAGTAGTCAGCAGGGCTCTCTTCTGCCCAACTACGTTGTTGAGATCCAAGGCCCAGGTTTTGTCTTTTCCCCCCGAAACTGTCATCGCCATAATCTGAGCCGAATCCTGATTGATTGGTCCTTCGTTTTGCTCCTGCACCAAAAGCACGAGATCCTTCACCTAAAACAGTAATAGGTGATACAAAATAACTAAAAATGTCTTTTAAGTCTTTATCTTAAAGGGACAATACAATCAGCTTCTATGATTACAAAATAGAAATTACCCTAACATATTATATATATACTGCTTCTTAAGCAATGCTTATAAAAATATCTGACCTGAAGAACTGGCTTGGGTCAAGTCAGTTGTTGTCAGTCCCATCCCAGCTCCCCGCTTGGCCTGCTCAACTGCAATCTGAGTTTGGTTCAACATAGCTATCTGGTTCTTAATGGCCATACTCAATTGGCTCTGTAACAGCATCATCTCTTTAGTGGCTTCTACATTTATGCCCATATCACCTGAAAAAAAGGAGCTGAGAGCTGAGAACAAGTAACAGTTGCAGAGAGAGAGAGAGAGAGAGGAGGGGGTGGGGGTGTCAAGCAATTAATACAGAAATAGGTTTCATAATTATTATAAATTTGAACAAAAGGGTTTAGAGATTTTTTTTAAACAACTTACATGTTAGACATCTAAACACCTAGTGGGAAATATTTTCTTAGTGGAAAACATATTAAATTAGATCAGACCTTTTAACTTTTCTGCAGATTAACATATTACCGAGTTATTCTATTAAAGTATAATTCCAAACCTTAAAAAAAACCAAAGGGATGCTTTAAATAAAAAAAACAACAACACAACAATTTACATATTATTTAAAGTCAAAATAACAAAGTTCAATGTCTATTGGACTTACCTTTTCATACTTCTCTAATAAACTTAGTCTTTTTCCACATATCTTTTACAAATAAGCTAAAATTGATAACATTAATGTAGCTAAAATAGAGAATATTCCTAATTTGTTTCAACAATTGTTCAAGTGTTGGCAATCCAGTCTGACTTAGACTTCCTCACCTAACATAATCACATTTGGTAAATAAAGGTCAAAGGAATCAGATAGCAATAGTGTTTTTATAAAATATTATTTAGGCAAGATAAGAGAGAGTGAAATGAATTTCCCTAAGAATAACTGATTTTGAAGTTTTGTTCAAGCTCCTATTTCACTTTCAGTCTCAGCATGTTACACAATATACAGTGCTAGTCCAAAATTATAGCCTCCTTCATAATCCTGAATGATCTAACAATGATTATCCAGGTTTCTGGAAATGCAGATCCCATTCCAAGTATAATCAAAGGATGGTGGAATGCTGCTGAAATGATCATGAGCCTAAGACACAACATAACCTTAACCCATTCCTGTTGGATTCACAATTGGGTACAGCAGAAAATCTCCCATTGATCACAACCAAACACAAAAAAAGCAACGAGAGATTGCTATATGTGAGTAGGCAGGCAGTGGCTGAAATTTATCTACATTCAGAAGATTCAACCGCTCACTGTTGTGGTTATTATTACAAGTTATTAACAATCACAAACACTTTTATCTCTCCTGATATTCTGCAAACTTTTAGCACAGTTTTCCCAAGTTAAAAATGCTTCATTGCATTATATTTCCTCAAAAGAGGCAAAACATATTTTTTAAATTGTCATTTTTAGAAAATGTACCAAATAATTGAACATTTGATTGGTTTAAAATGGAACAGGTCAGTTCATCAAATTGCTAAATTTTGTTTAAGTTTAACTGGGTCCTTATTTCCTTGTAATCCAAGACTGACGTACGAGACCGAATTCTGTAGAAAAACAAATGCAGTAACAAAGTGAACATGGTCTCTGACAACATCTGTGACAGTCGTTGCTTCACAGGCCTGTACCAACGAGTGCCTACAGAGTGCCGCACGTTATGAAAATATTTTTTTATTTCCCTCCAATTGTTAAGGTTCAAAATGGCCACTCGATAGCAGTGTTCAATCCAGAATTTCATTGAAGCTACAGCTACAATTTATGATTTTAATTTATAGGAGAAATAACTGGTGGCCATTTAACAGTTAATTTGTTTAATTTACAGCTAAAATAATGGCGCATTTGATTTTATTGTTAATTCCAGAATTTCATCATAGGCTTTCAAATTTATTCAACATTGTAATTACAGCTAAAATTTGTAAAAGAAAAATATTACTATTACAAAGTTAATGTGTTTAGCATGTATCAATAAATCAGTTTGATAAATAACATTACAGTACAAGAACCAAAACTAAGACCATCGGTGAACGCTCCTACTTCTATGGGCCCACGTTCTGGAACCAGCTCCCCTTCCATATCCGTCATTGTGAAACCTCGTCCACTTTTAAAAAGTCCCTTAAAACCCATCTGTTTAGGTCCGCCTATGACCTGTGATGCACCCTCCTCGCCCTGCCTCATTTTCTGTTCCTGTAGTATAGGCCAAAACGTGCCAAAGTGTCCTCGTTTTATAGCCATTTTAATTGTTTCTATAGTATAGTAGTTACTATCCTAGTGTCTCATTTTTATTTTACTTAGTTTACATGTTTTTAATAATTGTAAAGCGCTTAGAGCTTTAAGGTAAGCGCTATATAAAAAATGCCTAAATAAATAAATAAATAAGCAATAAAGATTCTGTAATCGGTTGCAATGTAAACACAATGTCAGACAAATTTCTCTACACAGTTATCGATCTAGAATGTCAGTCTTGGATGCCATGAAATACGGAACCAGTGGAACCGTAGCCTAAGCCTTCTTTCTTGACCATGCTGCTGTACAAAATGTGATTACCTTATGGTAAAGGGTTAATATATCCATGCACAGCAAAGGGAAACTAGAAAAAACCATTAAACAACAGTTTCCATTGTGAGTCCATGTTGCATACTTATCAATATGTACAATATATTGATATGACATTTTCACTCACCAGAGAATGAAAAAGCATCCTTATCTCAGACCACAATGACACCATAATGAGGATATAGTGCATCACATTACGCACGTTAAATTTTAAGTTTTACAGAATGCTGTATGTTGAGACTTATCATTAAAATGATACTAAACAGCTACCCAGTGCTGTAGCAAACATGAGCAGATATAAAAAAAAGTGAAGTGAGCGGGATAAGCTAAAATATCCCAAGCTCATTATCAAATCAGGTGGGCAGGCAGCTCTGTGGTATTGAGAGATCCATCCCACGACATGGGACATTGAGTCTGACATCAAGACACACAGAGCAAGGTAAACAAAGTGAGTTTTTAAGATATACTAACCCGAAGCTCCTGCCATACCTCCACCAAAACTTTGTTGTTCAAATCTTCTATCTGCTCTACCACCGGTAGCATAGCCACCACCAGAGCTGAAACGGTTTCTTCCTCCGGAAGCTCTTGAGTTCCAAACTGAGTTATTTCTGTTGTTACGATTGCCCGAGCCACCTCGATTACCCCTGTTTTGATTCTGCCTGATTGGGCTTCTGTTGCCAGCACTGTCCCAACCAAGGGGACCTTTCCGGATATCTGGTCTGTTGGCTCGAGCACGTGAAGCTACTTCTGGCTTTCTCAGCACTGGTTTTCCTGGCGGACCACCAACTTTTTTCTTTTCCTGGTAAGAATTGATTGGACCCTGTAATATATGTACATCTGTCAGTACCAATAAGCACCTGCCTTTTCACCTCTCATGGTAAACAACTCATGTAGTGCCATGAAAGAAAGCAGGGCTATTGTCTGATGCCACAAAAGTATCCATCTTTTCACAGCACACTATGTTCCAGGATGTGGACCTAGAAAAATCTCCAAAACTTTAAAGTAACTAACCAATATAAAAGAGGAAATTGACATAACCATGAACAAATTTGCAATTCAACAGCTGAAAAGAAAAAAAAAAAAAAAACGCTCCATGACTCTGTATATAAAATTAGCTATTAAATATGTCTTCTGTTATTGTAATTTATAACTTTGTACAGTTCTCAAGCATCACACTAGACACACACAAATATTTAACTTTCATTTAGCTTCTTTGCTCAAAAGTTATACAGGGAACATTAGCTACAGTCCCTTAATACCTTTCAGTTTCTAAACTGGTCTTTTTGATTTAAGACATCCCTTTGACTAAAATAGACTTTCTTTATGAAAAAATTGTACGTAAGGTATTCCAAAACTGAGGTAAAAGTTATAGGTTATCACAGTAGGCAGATAAATTGACTTCTTTTAACATAGGCCAATATTATTAAAATTTCTTTAGCCTAACATAAGTCTCGTAAAATATGGTTATTTTAAAATAAATAAAACCTTGGTAACATTTTCCTGACTGTAATTTGGATAAAACAATTCCTTGCAAAGAAAAATGTACCTGATCTCTCCCTCGTGAAATCCAGGTACCACGACCCCGGCTCCTGAATTCCCTCCTGTACTCCTATTTGTTAAAAAACAAGAAACACATTTTTATAAAGTGTAACTAAAAAGCTTCATGAATATTTTATGACTCAATCTGTAGTTTGAAGATTAATCATGTATCTAATACATTATTTAACTAAATTATTCATCCGATTTAATTTTATTCTAATTCAATAACATAAGCTGTTTCTCTAAAGTCTGGGTTGGGTTTTGTACATTGTATTTGTCAAAGTTTTTAAATCTCATTATAGATTTGAAAAAATTATTTCCTTTAAAATTGGAAGTCTATAATCTAAATTATTTATAAAACAACCAACCTCATGGTATTAATTTCACATAAACCCAAAAAACATTAAAAAAATAATATGAAGTACCCTTGGTGGGCCAGCGTTTTTACTGGTCGTTGGTGTCTTCTTAGGGATCTCTTTTTGAGACAATGGTCCTTTCTGTGGAGATTTACTTTCAGCTGCTTTAGTCTCTTTACTCTCTACTGTTGTATTGGGTTCACTTGAGTCTTTGGAATCAGCTTCTTTGCTTTTATCCCCTTCATTCTCCACTTTAACACCAACAACTTGTTCTTTAGGTATATTTGTAGTCTTACTTTCACTCAGTTGTTCTCTGCGCTCTGATTTGAAAAAAATAAAAAACTCTTTAACTTTTAAAAAAGGTCTGTGGGAGTTAGAGAATAATTCAGCAATCTGTATCAAGATCACAGTTAAATAAACCTTTTCAATTATTTATTTTAAATTATATACACTTATGCTCACTTTTTCACTTTTAATACGCAATAATTATTTTGCTAAGTAGAGTCTGTGATATGCAATGTAATAAATGCTGCTCAGTGATTGTTAAGACCATTGGAATTTACATGGTATATATTTACTTACTTTCCAAAGGATGAAATTCCAAGATATTTCCCCCAAGTTCAACTTTGGCAAATGCTTTTAAGCAAGGCAAGACACTGATTCTATTCTCAAGGACAAGGCGAGCAGTACTAAAATATATTGAGTTCAAATTTTAAAACTGACACTGACATTTTTATCTACAGATTAGTTCAGACATATTGTATTCCATTGAGTATAACCTAATGAACTTTAAGGCCATGCTAATATGAAAAAGATTTTTTTTTTAAAATTTAAATTAAATAACATAACTAAATATAATATGCTTTTATAAAAATATTAATTTACCAATCTTTGAATTTATCAGGAGTATAGTTAATCTCTGCTGCAAAGGGAAACAAAACTCTGAGCATTTCTTTGGAGGTGTCATTCGGTAGATTTTTTACAAAAACTGAGCCAATTATCCTACTCCTGAGTTTTTTACCTGCAGTGAGAGAAAAGTTTATACTAGCTCAAAGGTTAGCCTTTGAAACAACAAAACTTATTTATTTTTTAAGAAAAACATTGCTTTAGACAATACAGTTTTCTTTAGACAGAAGATTAATTCTTACCATGCCTGGGAGGTAATGGAGGAATGCACAACATTCTAACAAGCTTTGGATCATATCTTAAAAGGGCTGGAAAAAAGAAAAAAAATTAATAAATTGGCTGAAAATGAGAATGAAATTAATTGTTAAACTAAATCTTAAAGATTCACCAATCATTACCAAAAGAAACAAACACAGGATAAAATTTTCACAGACATGATTACTAGCGGGTTAATCTTTAAAATTTATTTTTAAATCAAATAATGTAGATATTACAAAAAGAGCTCAGGCTGCTACTTAATACACAATCATTAGTCATCAATGTTATTATTTATTACCTTTCTGTTCCACAGCCCCTTCATCATTCTTTTTGATAATCTCAATATTAATCTCTGGGTATTGAAAGTCTAACTTCATAAGATTATGAACTATTCTGATAGCCATCTTTGGTGAAGAGGCAAACATTTCACCTTTTCTATTTTGAGCAATTTAAAAAAGAAAAACCATTAGTGACACTTACTTAAATAATGATGAACAAATTTAAAGCATTCATATTTTACTTTGGAATATATGCTTTATTTCAAAAAGCCTCAGAAATTTTTTAAAAATTGGATTGTCACAAATTTTACAATACTAAGAAGTAAAAACTGGTAATGAATTTGAATAGTTTGGACTTCTATTTGCTGAATCCAAGTACTAACTGAGTTCTATTTGTTCCAAATTCAAAGCTACACATTATTCAATTCATGATTTTTCTATCCTGTGCCAGAATGTTGAAATATGGGGCTGGCTAAAACTCTGCATACAAAAACAAACAAAAAAGCCTGAATTATTGGAGTCTCTATTGCCTACTTAATCTATTAGTTATTATTTTTATTGCTAATACTTTTAACTTAAACCTATATAGACAAAAGGAATTGTCTAGATTTCTTACAGAATTAGCAGTATGTGCACATACTTTGCAGATATTATGCAATTTGTTAACATATTGAAAATTTATTAATATTTTTATAAGTCACGACACATGCATACATTGAGGAAGTTTGTGTCAATGTGTAAGGCTGAACATCTATATACAAAAAGTTAATTGAAAATCTTAAAACATTAATTTTCAAATATTTGCATGGATAATTGTATTGGCAAAGGCAAATGTCTTGACAATTTCTGTTTTTTTTCTACAATATATCCAAATTTTAAGTAACATGTAGACACACACATCTGAGTTCTACATACCCTCTTGAATATTTATTCTGGGCAAGAATGTAAAGCAAGCTCTCCCTAGCACATTTAAAAACTCTAGTGATCTGTCCACTCATAAAATCTTCTGGCTTCAATGGATAAAATTTAACTTGCCATCTACGCTCTGTTGATAAAATTTTGAGAAACAATGACAATTAGTAAAATTGTAAGTAGGCAGTCAATTGATTTTCCCATAACTATTTATGCTTCATACAAAAGGGATACGATAGCTGTAAATTATTTCTCATCTGTAAATCTCTTGATTGGTGTTCTCCCTTGGACTTGGAACCTAGTGAAGTGTGCATACTGATTTGGGCGATAAGGCAGTATATTTAACGATATGAAAATGATTATTTCTCATATCGTAAACAGATTTCAAATTAAATTTCAGAGATATAGATCTAAATATCTAATTAGATTGGGGTGTGTGAATAGCTATGGTTGATTTAATGCAAATATTTATTGACAAAATATTGTGGACAATGTATTTAATTTGTGTAAATTTATATAAATCTATATTATATATTTTAAAAAGGCAAATTGAAAATGAAACCCTTTAGACTTTTCTCTGCAGGCATATATGTAGTTGTTCATGTGATTAGTAAATGAGTTGTAGGGTTTCCCAACCATAAAAGCTATTTAAAAATGTAAATGAAGTAAATGTCCTGGGGGAGTGAACAGTGATATATAAACGAACCCATTTACTATGAATATTTTATAAAGCTTACTAGCAAGAAGTGAGATATTGACTTGAGGCATCACATTTGGATCTGAACTTTTATCTATATTTATGTTGTCTTCCTCATCATCTTCTTCCTCGTCACCGTCTTCATCTAAATCATTTTTTCTGTCAATTTCTTCCTTTGGTTTTATCTCCCCTACATCCTCAGATGGATCTTTATCAGCCTCATCTGCTGCTCCTGCAATTTCATCACCAGCTACCTCTTCGAGTTTTATTGCCTGAGATTCACATTCTTCAATACTTTGCACTTGCTCTGCTTGAGTCTCTAACTGTGTTTCATTGGGCTCTTGTATTTGGGAATCTGCCATGTTTGAATTCTAAAAGAGCAATATCCAAACATTCTTTGAGCATTATCACAACACAAAAAAAAGAAATTAAACATCTGGTATAGTTTGCACTCTAGTCATTAGTATATTTTGTATTATTCTGTTACCCTTGTATAGTTTTCATTTGTACACATCACTGTTCTATTATGTGGTTATACTTCAGCAGTTCTTGCAATTAATTGTGCCCTAAACAATTCCCATTGGTTCATTAAATCTCTTTCCTACAAACATCACTTGTGGAAAACATTCGATTTTCCTTTGTGCTGTGACAAATATATAAATGTAAAATTATATAAGTTCATAGCTAGTACAAGTAGGCCTGCATATGTGAATTATTTAAAGTCATATTTCTACAACGTTATTAATAATAAGCCTTATGACTTTGGCTGTATGGTCCAAGAACATGTCTACAATACCCATACTATTTTTATCCCCCATAGGCCCTATATGCCTACAGTTACAGCCTCTACAAACATGCCATTGTGAATTCATAGACTACATACTAACATAGACAAGCTAGGATTGGGTTAGCGGTAAACCAGCTATGTCTTCCACTGTATATAAGTCATGGAGGTTCCCTAGGACAATTACCAGCCATAGTTTTGTATTCAATTGATTTTGATTTTTTCTTTATTTGATACAAGTTTTAAGACCTAACACCGATGGCAAAAAAAAGAACACGCTAAATGTGCTATCTTTTATTATTTTAAATCCAAGTACCTGTATTTTAAAAGTTAGGTAACAAAAGGGAGACTACTGCTTAAACTGTATTGGAAATGGGTGTTAGCGCAATATCTTAGGAGTTATTTGATTTTGATAAATTGTGTTTCTTAATGGATTTATATTTTCATTTCAGGTTAAAAAACCCAGTAGAGTACATGATATTAATTATAAATATCATATTTTTCAGGGTGCAAAATGATTTTCTGGGGACTGGGGTTGGAGATCCCTCTCCAAACTCCCTCCCAACCTTATTTTAAATACCAAAATAAGAAACAAAGAAATCTTCTAGGCAGGGGTGACCCCTCTCCAGAACCCCTACCTCCTAATTTCAAGAGTATAAAATAAGAAAACAAAAACTTGCATTAAGTGAACAAAAACATAAATATTGAAATCTTTAAAATACGGTGCTGAAGACGGAAGTTTAACTGGGGGAAGCTCTGTGTCCTGTACACCATGGAACACATTGCCGCCTTACCGCTAACCTAAAATTAACCGTATTTTGTATTGAATTGACAAGTTTAAAAAAAAAAATAAGCCTACATTTAGACAACGTTCAAGAACATGAATGCACATTCACATGCCCTTGAACATGAATGCACATGCCCTTACTTTCCAGGAAAAAATGTCTCTATGTAGTATGGGCCTGTTAATATTATTAATAGTGATGGGACGATTAATCGGAATGGGGAGATTAATCGGAATCGTATCGGAATAATCGAAATATCTGGATTTTTCCAAAGCATCGGGAATCAGTATCGGAGCTGAATAATTCAGACCTGATTCTAATACCAAAACGATTCTTAACTGATTAACTGCCGTAAGCCGGTGAACTCAATACTACAATGTAGTAATTATAATTAATATATTTTGTTGTTGTTTGGAATTAAACAGTAATTATAATAATCATACCTTTTCTTAAAAAAATTATGTAAAATGTTATTTTGTGAAGGTAAACTTTTTCCTATTTTGTATGCACATGAATAATAATTTCATATGTATATTTAATATACAGTTTTTATATACACATTTTGAAATTTGTATCAAAAGACACTAGCTACATCTTTGTATTATTAAAATAGAATTATTGATAGATGTTTTTATATAAAACCTTTCCAAGACATTGCTATCTAGCATATTGTAAAGCTTCAATAGCAAGTTAATAAACTTTTCTAATCAATTCTCAACTTTCATATTAATTAAATATGTTAATAACTGGGCACAGTAATACATATATGTAATAATGGCCAGGAATCGGAATGGTATCGGGAATCGGGATAATTGGGTAGAATCGGAATTGTATCGGAATCGTTAAAATTTTTGGTATCGTCCCATCACTAATTATTAAATATGGACATAGTAGGTATTTGGATACTTGTTAGTGCACAGTTAACAGTTCTAGACAAAGAAAAAATGATGCAAATGTAAAAAATTTTGTGGCAATATTATATAACAACTGGCTCTGCTGTGATCTCGGTTTTTTTAATTTTTGGTCACAATTTACAATTTTCTAATTATTAAATTAAATTTGTCATCATTTATGTAAAATATTTGTCTGCCAGTGACATAAATAAATTTACACACAATGAGATTGAGACTCGTGATAATTAATAAGCCAGCATTAGCCTCCTTTCTCTTGCTATCGATCCCTTTGACTTTGACAAAGTTAGCTATAAATTAAAATATAATAATATAATATAAAGTAAAAGTGCTTTTTTTGAGACCTGAAGGAAAAGGTCTACCATCCAAATTTCATCGGGAAATAACTTTGAAATATTTTAAATATGAGTCTTGCTGTTGTCACTGTTGAAATAATGAATGTCACACCAACCCCCAGCCCACCCCCATTTACAATATTTTGGGAGCCAAAGTCAAAGCCAGGCCAAGGGCAGATTGCTTCAAGTAGTTATTATATGGCCAATGGGCATCGATAGTAATTTATAGTATACAGTAGACACTGTCGTGGGATGGCAATCATGACAATGAGCATAGTATTGGCACTGCTGGTACATTGACTTTATGAGTCAGTAAAAATTAATTAGCGCAAATCACCTATTTCCGACAGTGCAGCACTTACCCGAACTCACTAACTCTTGTCCTTTTTTAAATGGGGAAGGAAGCAAGCTGTAACTCAAATTGGCATCAAATTATGACATAAAGGTTTAGTTATAAAATAGTACGAGATTATACGAATATGATTCTTATTTCTTTGTTCAAAGAGAGCAAAAACAAACGTAAAAGTAAAAATTCGTACTCACTTACTATACTATATCCAAGATATATTTCTAAATAGCATTTTAATTGATAAAAGTATGGCCAGAGTTTTATATTTAAGGCCAAATAACGAATAGAAACAGGTTATCCTTTGACATTTATTAAAGAGCTGTTATTTGTTTATTTTATTTAATTGCTTATGATTATTTTTTATTTCCCTTTATTCAATTATTGATAGATTAAATATTTTAAATACATTTCAAAATGAATAAATGTAAGGAATTTGAAAGGAAGAAAATGATAAATGTATTACATATACATATATTTAGCAAAATTGTCTTGAAATACTATAATAAATAACATTAATATAATATTTTAATATTTTTAAGAGACATATCTGAAGTATAGCCTCCTAAAACATAAAATGTGTGTTCTTGATAAAATAGAGTACTGCATAATTTAATAATTACTTTGGCGTGACTGATCAAGTTATGTGTGCCAGTTTTTATTTCCGAAATTCCGAAAAAGTGAAGAATTTCCCCACCAAAAACGCAGGTTTTCTGCGATAAATCACTTTTTAAGTCTATTTAATATCATACAAACGAAAAACTCACGGAAAATTAGCAACTAGCAGCCTTGGGATTACATTTAGTTTCTGGTTAAAATTAGTAATTTCCCTTTAATTAATAGACAACTAATGAGTAGGTCACTCTATTTGGCAAAGATTAACACTAAATATTTACACGAACTATTTACACATGTTTGATAACGTTATCTAAATTTACAACTTATTTTCATAGCTCCAAGAAAGGATGATAGTCTAAGGCAGGGCTACCACACCTTGGGAAATTTCCCAAGATCTTGGGAATTCACGACCGCCCTTGGGATCTGGGGAATAATTTTGAAAATCAGTCAAAACCTTGGGAAATCTTAACCGGGGGGAAAATTTTATTATGTTTTTCGAAAAACTCAACAATATCTGATAAAAAAATAAAGTGAAAATAAAGCAAAATAATTTTTAAAGTAACAAGGCAAAAAATGAATTGTTTTAATTTTCTTTTCTGGTTTTAATTTTTAAATCCACTCATAAAATAAATAAAAACTCTTCTGATATTAAAGTTAATATTGTGAATTATTAAAAAGTTAATAATTTTTAAAAAATTCAATGTTCTCTTTTTTTAAAAAAATTGAAGATTTACAAATTACATCCAGGTTTTGAATGTTTATTAAATGGGGGGGGGGGAGGGGGGGGGCTCGGAAACTTTATCATTATGCTCTTGAACATTAGCAACAATAAAAAAACAGTACAAGCCAAAGAGTGAACGATAGTGTTC